TGGCTTTTTGATGCTGTCATGGTAGTCTGATATGTCGGCAAGACTCTATTGTCTAGACTCTGTACCTGATCAGCACTTAAATCTTTCAAAAGAAGAATTCATTCTAGGGGGTGAGGAAAGTGTTTCTTACATGGTAAAAAGATGAGGGCCTGCATGAATTATTTTAGTTCTATTTCTGTGAAGCCTTCTGGAAATGACTTGAGTTTGAAAAGCACTTTTTATCCAGAAATAATTAGGAAGCCAATTGTGATATTAGGCAAAATGATCTGTTATTTCCATTGTTGGCTCATTTTCACTGTCTTCCCTTCTCCTTCAGATTGGGATATTCTCAGTTTGAGAGTTCTTGAAGTAGATAGAATGTAAATTGTTCACTTTGTTTATCAAGTGAGACAGCCACTTCTAGCCTTTATTATAAATACTGAGTTTTCCAAATCAAAAACTCAGTAAATTACTAGTTAGCAGAAAAATTATGAGATGTCTGCATTTCCCTTATGCAAATCAGATCTTATGCAAATCAGATAGGCTGTTGTTCCTTTAATAGAAAATAAACAAAAATAAGATATTTATCTCTATGCTCTTTATGAGAAATGGCTTAAGTATTCCCACCTAAATAGAAATCTCTTCCTGACCTTTTCTTATTTGAAATCCCATGAGTTTGTTATTTATAATAAATTGTTATATTTTCATTGGTTAGTATTTTGACAAGTTTTATCAGGAACTGTAGATATTTCCTAATAATATGTTTTGGTATCAAGTTTAGTTTTGTTTTTCCTTCTTTTAGGTAAAGCCTCATGTGTATCAAGGTAAGATTTTAGTCTTCTGTTTTGTTTCTGATTTTTGTTTTGTTTTGTTTTGTTTTTTTAATTTTGCCAAAGAGTGTATTCACTCACTGAAGAGAAAGGCAGAGGGCAGGTAAGTGAGAAGCACTGCCCCCACTCTATCAGGATTGATCAAGCAACAATCCCTTCTTTGTTTCTCCCTCTTTTTGGGATCTTGAGCTTGCAAGAACACTAGCTGGATCTGTTTCTCAATGTCCTGGGTCCAGAACACAACCAGGCATTTGGCAATGTCGGAGATAGCCACTTTAACCCCCATACCATGGTCTGACAAGGTTCTGCTTTCTTTTTAATATGTACTTAGTACAGTTGTTCCATGTGGGTTCCAATTCAACTATACA